AGAGAGAGAGAGAGGGCCTGAATATGTTTCAAAAGCAAGACAGGACAATTGATCTGCGTCAAGTTCAGCAAAAAGAGTTGGGTCATACGACACCGAAAGCAAGCCAGTGGCAGTGCAAAATAGGAAAATCTGGGTTGCATAAAGTAAATAACAAAGCATAAAGATAGAAGATACGAAAACTTTAATGTTAATCTCCATGTTCCAGACCAAACACATCATCGACAACATACTATAACTAAAACATAAAAACTTTCTATATAAACCATTTCATTATTTATAGGATATAAACATAACAAACGGGTATATATGAGGACATTCAACACCATGAAAAAAATAGAAGAATCATGTACTTAGAACTGAGATTTTCCCAGTCCCACATCAAATTTTCAATCATAAAATATATTCAAACACAAACAAAAAGAGCTATGAGCCTATGAGATGACCTAGCAGATGGTATCTTAAAATATGAAATAAGGAAACCTTATCATTGTGCAATATAAACAATATAAAAAGAAAATATATGAAAAAAATTAAAAGTCGAGGGAAAATTCAGAAACTGAAATGACATGTGAAATATATTTTTCTCTACATTCTTCGTATAAGCATCGTAAAGATAAATGTAACCATAAACTTGTCCTATTGGCTATATCCTATATATTTTCTAAAATAGAGTATGTATCAAACAGAAGTCAGAACAAAGGGAATATGCATCAAATACAATTTCACCTACATTCCTCCTGTACACATCGCAAAAAATAGTTTTGGCTTGCTTTTAATAAAAATAGCTGTGGGAAGTTACCCTACTGTACAGCTCAAAAATATATAAAGTTTCAGTGGTTTCTCTTTTGTTTGGCATGGTTTCGTATCTTGGTTTTGCTTAGTTGGCAAGCCTGATTCAACAAACTAAAAGGAGATACACAAAATAAAGTCAGTTGGTCGGAAGAAAATTTATTATGGAAAGGAAGCATCTTGGCCAAATTTAATTGGCGGGAAAATCGTAACAATGCCATCGTGATAAACTGCTTTCACCCACGATAACAATCCATCGTTATATACTGCTCATGTGGTACACAATTTTCTAGTTCAACTGCTTTGCATTTTTGACCCTAG